CGTATCTCTGATGTCTCTGGTGTCTCTCGTGTCTCTGATGTCTCTCCTGTCTCTGATGTCTCTCGTGTCTCTGGTGTCTCTGATGTCTCTCGTGTCTCTGGTGTCTCTCGTGTCTCTGGTATCTCTCGTGTCTCTGATGTCTCTCGTGTCTCTGATGTCTCTCGTGTCTCTGATGTCTCTGGTGTCTCTGTCTCTGATGTCTCTCTTGTCTCTGGTGTCTCTGGTGTCTCTGGTGTCTCTCGTGTCTCTGATGTCTCTCGTGTCTCTGGTGTCTCTCGTGTCTCTGGTGTCTCTGATGTCTCTCGTGTCTCTGGTGTCTCTCGTGTCTCTGATGTCTCTCGTGTCTCTGATGTCTCTCGTGTCTCTGATGTCTCTCGTGTCTCTGATGTCTCTGGTGTCTCTGGTGTCCCTCGTGTCTCTGATGTCTCTCGTGTCTCTGGTGTCTCTCGTGTCTCTGGTGTCTCTGGTGTCTCTGGTGTCTCTGGTGTCTCTGGTGTCTCTCGTGTCTCTGGTGTCTCTCGTGTCTCTGGTGTCTCTGATGTCTCTCATGTCTCTGGTGTCTCTCGTGTCTCTGATGTCTCTCGTGTCTCTGATGTCTCTCGTGTCTCTGATGTCTCTCGTGTCTCTGATGTCTCTGGTGTCTCTGGTGTCTCTCGTGTCTCTGATGTCTCTCGTGTCTCTGGTGTCTCTGATGTCTCTCGTGTCTCTGGTGTCTCTGATGTCTCTCATGTCTCTGGTGTCTCTCGTGTCTCTGGTGTCTCTCGTGTCTCTGGTGTCTCTCGTGTCTCTGGTGTCTGGTGTCTCTGGTGTCTCTCGTGTCTCTCGTGTCTCTGGTGTCTGGTGTCTCTGGTGTCTCTGGTGTCTCTCGTGTCTCTGGTGTCTCTCGTGTCTCTGATGTCTCTGGTGTCTCTGGTGTCTCTCGTCTCTCTGATGTATCTCATGTCTGATGTCTCTCGTGTCTCTGGTGTCTCTCGTGTCTCTCGTGTCTCTGGTGTCTCTCGTGTCTCTGGTGTCTCTCGTGTCTCTGGTGTCTCTGGTGTCTCTGGTGTCTCTGGTGTCTCTGGTGTCTCTCGTGTCTCTGATGTCTCTCGTGTCTGATGTCTCTCGTGTCTCTGGTGTCTCTGGTGTCTCTCGTGTCTCTGGTGTCTCTCGTGTCTCTGGTGTCTCTCGTGTCTCTGGTGTCTCTGATGTCTCTCGTGTCTCTGGTGTCTCTGGTGTCTCTGGTGTCTCTGGTGTCTCTGGTGTCTCTGGTGTCTCTCGTGTCTCTGGTGTCTCTGGTGTCTCTGGTGTCTCTGGTGTCTCTGGTGTCTCTCGTGTCTCTCGTGTCTCTGGTGTCTCTGGTGTCTCTCGTGTCTCTCGTGTTTCTCGTGCCTCTGATGTCTCTCGTGTCTCTGATGTCTCTGGTGTCTCTCGTGTCTCTGATGTCTCTCGTGTCTCTGATGTCTCTCGTGTCTCTGATGTCTCTCGTGTCTCTGATGTCTCTGGTGTCTCTCGTGTCTCTGATGTCTCTCGTGTCTCTGATGTCTCTCGTGTCTCTGGTGTCTCTGGTGTCTATGGTGTTTCTCGTGTCTCTGGTGCCTCTGGTGTCTCTGGTGTCTCTGGTGTCTCTGATGTCTCTGGTGTCTCTCGTGTCTCTGATGTCTCTCGTGTCTCTGATGTCTCTTGTGTCTCTGATGTCTCTCGTGTCTCTGATGTCTCTCGTGTCTCTGGTGTCTCTGATGTCTCTCGTGTCTCTGGTGTCTCTTGTGTCTCTGATGTCTCTCGTGTCTCTGATGTCTCTCGTGTCTCTGGTGTCTCTGATGTCTCTCGTGTCTCTGGTGTCTCTGGTGTCTCTGATGTCTCTGGTGTCTCTCGTGTCTCTCGTGTCTCTGATGTCTCTGGTGTCTCTCGTGTCTCTGATGTCTCTCGTGTCTCTGATGTCTCTCGTGTCTCTGATGTCTCTGGTGTCTCTGGTGTCTCTGGTGTCTCTGGTGTCTCTGGTGTCTCTGGTGTCTCTCGTGTCTCTCGTGCCTCTGATGTCTCTCGTGCCTCTGATGTCTCTCGTGTCTCTGGTGTCTCTCGTGTCTATGGTGTTTCTCGTGTCTCTGGTGCCTCTGGTGTCTCTGGTGTCTCTGGTGTCTCTGGTGTCTCTGGTGTCTCTGATGTCTCTGGTGTCTCTCGTGTCTCTGATGTCTCTTGTGTCTCTGATGTCTCTCGTGTCTCTGATGTCTCTGGTGTCTCTGGTGTCTCTGATGTCTCTCGTGTCTCTGATGTCTCTTGTGTCTCTGGTGTCTCTGGTGTCTCTGATGTCTCTCGTATCTCTGATGTCTCTGGTGTCTCTCGTGTCTCTGATGTCTCTCGTGTCTCTGATGTCTCTCGTGTCTCTGGTGTCTCTGATGTCTCTCGTGTCTCTGGTGTCTCTCGTGTCTCTGGTATCTCTCGTGTCTCTGATGTCTCTCGTGTCTCTGATGTCTCTCGTGTCTCTGATGTCTCTGGTGTCTCTGTCTCTGATGTCTCTCTTGTCTCTGGTGTCTCTGGTGTCTCTGGTGTCTCTGGTGTCTCTGGTGTCTCTGGTGTCTCTCGTGTCTCTGGTGTCTCTGGTGTCTCTCGTGTCTCTGGTGTCTCTCGTGTCTCTGATGTCTCTCGTGTCTCTGATGTCTCTCGTGTCTCTGATGTCTCTCGTGTCTCTGATGTCTCTGGTGTCTCTGGTGTCTCTCGTGTCTCTGATGTCTCTCGTGTCTCTGGTGTCTCTGGTGTCTCTCGTTGGTGTCTCGGTGTCTCTGGTGTCTCTGGTGTCTCTGGTGTCTCTGGTGTCTCTGGTGTCTCTCGTGTCTCTGGTGTCTCTCGTGTCTCTGGTGTCTCTGATGTCTCTCATGTCTCTGGTGTCTCTGATGTCTCTCGTGTCTCTGATGTCTCTCGTGTCTCTGATGTCTCTCGTGTCTCTGATGTCTCTGGTGTCTCTGGTGTCTCTCGTGTCTCTGATGTCTCTCGTGTCTCTGGTGTCTCTGATGTCTCTGGTGTCTCTGGTGTCTCTGGTGTCTCTGGTGTCTGGTGTCTCTGGTGTCTCTCGTGTCTCTCGTGTCTCTGGTGTCTGGTGTCTCTGGTGTCTCTGGTGTCTCTCGTGTCTCTGGTGTCTCTCGTGTCTCTGATGTCTCTGGTGTCTCTCGTGTCTCTGGTGTCTCTCGTGTCTCTGGTGTCTCTCGTCTCTCTGATGTATCTCATGTCTGATTTCTCTCGTGTCTCTGGTGTCTCTCGTGTCTCTGGTGTCTCTGGTGTCTCTCGTGTCTCTGGTGTCTCTCGTGTCTCTGGTGTCTCTCGTGTCTCTGGTGTCTCTCGTGTCTCTGGTGTCTCTCGTGTCTCTGGTGTCTCTCGTGTCTCTGATGTCTCTCGTGTCTGATGTCTCTCGTGTCTCTGGTGTCTCTGGTGTCTCTCGTGTCTCTGGTGTCTCTCGTGTCTCTGGTGTCTCTCGTGTCTCTGGTGTCTCTGGTGTCTCTCGTGTCTCTGGTGTCTCTGATGTCTCTTGTGTCTCTCTGGTGTCTCTGATGTCTCTGGTGTCTCTGGTGTCTCTGGTGTCTCTGATGTCTCTGGTGTCTCTGATGTCTCTGGTGTCTCTGGTGTCTCTGGTGTCTCTGGTGTCTCTGGTGTCTCTGGTGTCTCTGATGTCTCTGATGTCTCTGGTGTCTCTGATGTCTCTGGTGTCTCTGATGTCTCTGGTGTCTCTCGTGTCTCTGATGTCTCTCGTGTCTCTGATGTCTCTCGTGTCTCTGATGTCTCTGGTGTCTCTCGTGTCTCTGATGTCTCTCGTGTCTCTGATGTCTCTCGTGTCTCTGATGTCTCTCGTGTCTCTGATGTCTCTCGTGTCTCTCGTGTCTCTGATGTCTCTCGTGTCTCTGATGTCTCTCGTGTCTCTGATGTCTCTCGTGTCTCTGGTGTCTCTCGTGTCTCTGGTGTCTCTCGTGTCTCTGATGTTTCTCGTGTCTCTGATGTCTCTCGTGTCTCTGATGTCTCTCGTGTCTCTGATGTCTCTCGTGTCTCTGGTGTCTCTGGTGTCTCTGGTGTCTCTGATGTCTCTCGTGTCTCTGATGTCTCTGGTGTCTCTGGTGTCTCTGGTGTCTCTGATGTCTCTGGTGTCTCTGATGTCTCTGGTGTCTCTCGTGTCTCTGATGTCTCTCGTGTCTCTGATGTCTCTCGTGTCTCTGATGTCTCTGGTGTCTCTCGTGTCTCTGATGTCTCTCGTGTCTCTGATGTCTCTCGTGTCTCTGATGTCTCTCGTGTCTCTGATGTCTCTCGTGTCTCTGATGTCTCTCGTGTCTCTGATGTCTCTCGTGTCTCTGATGTCTCTCGTGTCTCTGGTGTCTCTCGTGTCTCTGGTGTCTCTCGTGTCTCTGATGTTTCTCGTGTCTCTGATGTCTCTCGTGTCTCTGATGTCTCTCGTGTCTCTGATGTCTCTCGTGTCTCTGGTGTCTCTCGTGTCTCGTATTGCATTCTGTTAAAGTTGCTATGACTTTAGGTGGTTATTTTTTTATTGTGGTTATTTCATCTATATATTATCACAGGGGCAGCGCTCGCTCATGTACAGGAGAGTACTTATTTCAACAAAAGGTTAGATGACCCCAGGAAAAAAAGTATATACACTGTATTTATATGTTAGATGTTATTATCATTATTATATATACTTTTATAAAAAGTATATATAAATGTATATATATTTATATTTGCTCAGTTTACCCTGTTTCATCTGTCTGTCTGTCTAACATGTCTACAGTATACACAATGTTTCTTGGGAGGGTGGGAAATAATCATTGATATTTGGTGTGTTTGATCAGCATCCTGCTCCTCTCTGCTGCCTGACTTTATGTTACCTAAAGACTCCTGACACTTCCTGCAGTGCTCTCCATCTGTCTGCTTCCTGCTTTCCATCTGCAACTCTTCAATAAGAAAGAGAGAGAAGTGAAACGTGAGTGAGGGTCTGAGAGCGTCTCAGGTCAAAGGTTAAAGCTGCTCTTCGTCTGTCCTCTCAGGTGGGCGTTCACCCTCATCATCATCTCATCCTACACGGCCAACCTGGCAGCGTTCCTGACCGTCCAGAGGATGGAGGTTCCCATCGAGTCTCCTGATGATCTGGCTGATCAGACCAACATCCGGTATGGAACCATCCACGGAGGCTCCACCATGACCTTCTTCATGGTGAGACAGGGAGAAATGTTTCTATTGTTTCAGGGGAGGGAGATTGTGGGGGGGGGGGGGGGGGGCGGGAGCTAGTGGTTGCCGGAGCTGTTAGAACTGATAGCGCCGGAGCCTCGCAGCGGGGAAACTGAAACTGTGGAGCATGATCCTACTGACTTTTAAAGATGAAAAGAACATCTACACATGCTTATTGTAGTTGTAAGTGCAATGCCTTGCTGCCTGTAGCACCATCCTTGATGGAGCATATGTGTGGGCTGGACCTTTATAGTTTAATTTACAGGAAAGGAGTGAGCAGAGGGTAGAGTTGTCCATTCTTGTTCTGTTTTCCGTGACTATCTTCCTCACCATGCTGAACACCCTCTCAGACTCTCAGAGACGCGCTACCATGGAAACCAAACAATGGTGTAGCTGCATTGAAGTCCGAGTGGAAACTCGGACTTGTGAGTCACAGGTCGTGAGTCACAAATGTACTCACGACTCGTGAGTAAATCTGATTTAGTCAGAAATCGTGAGAAATGCGGGACAAATATGACCCTGGGAGGAAACCGGGAGAGGGCAATGAAATCGGGAGTCTCCCGTGAAAATCGGGAGGGTTGGCAAGTATGGGTGGGACTGTAGGGGTGTTGGGCCTTCACGTTGGACCCAGCATGTTATACTCTTGGTATACTGTGCAACAATATGACAGAAAGTCATTCAAAAGGATTTCATTACTGAGAGTTCAGCTTTTAATGGCAAAAAAAAAGATAAAAGTGTTCTGGTTGAAGCCCACCCCCCAATACAATGCAGTTGGTTATAACATCAATCACAGCGATCAACAGAGTTGAAATCAGACACGTTTCAAGACAAAGATGGTCAGCTTTAATACAGTCCGCCATACGATACATTTCAACTTTGTATTCTTCTTTTTTCTGTTATTAATTTTAATTACTTCAAAAAAGAATGTTCACTTGTTATTGTTTGGCCAACATTACAGGTTTTGTGTGTTCTATTCATTATACAGAGCCCCTAAAAAAAACCTTCTCGTCGCACACCGGCACGTAATAGCTCTGCACCTCTGGCCAAAATGTTCTTAAATTTAAGTTCTAGTTTGAAATATTACTCAATTTATTCATGGCTTGTAATTTCCACACATAAACATAATATTCTGCATTAACTGGTGGTCCCCTGCGTACACCGCTCACTTTCTCATACGCACCAGAAAGATTTGTTCTACTGTTTGTCCATGTCCCCTTAGTCAGGCTTAGTGGCTGTGTACGTTGATGTTGTATATTTTTAAATGAGCTGCTCATCAATATATGATACAAAAAATATTATTACCAATGAGGATGTTTTTCCTAATAAAGTCTCCGCCTCTTCCAAGGAACGAGGGGACCGTGCGGCAGAGTTTCAGTTTCAGTTTCTTTCACCGGTCAAGATGTCCGTTAAAGTTGAAATCTTCCGGACAAAATTAGAAAAGTGCCGGTCAAAGGTCTTCTTTGTTATTTATTGAGCTTTAAAACAAATGAATAACGACTCTATAGGCCTATAATAATATAATAAAACACGGAGGACGGTGATCTTTTTTTCTCCCCCTCTTGACTTGATCAGAGCACGGCTCCCCTCTCCTGCAGGGGGGCGTGGTCAGCAGAATCAGCCCCGTAGACAGCAAACAACACATAGAGCGAAATGAGGCATGGCTAAAATGCATGATCTGTTTGGTATTTTGAAAACAGAAACGTATAAATATACCTTATATAGGTATGGCCCTACAATATATCATTTAAATATAGCATGATAGGTCCACTTTAATGTAATTTGTGGTAGAACAATTGTAATGTGCAAGATTTCCTCATCTCATTTGTGTCTGTTATAACATTTTTAAAGTCTAAAACAAAATAGAAACTTTATTCTAATCCTATGTGAAATAGTTTGACTAAAATTACAAAATGATTTGTTTTTTTCTGCAAAGTTCAGTATAATCGGATAACTAAAAACTTACATTAGAAAAAGGACTAAGACTGTATTAAAAAAAGCTGAAAAAATGAAGAGAAAACATTTGGACAAAGACTAAAATATAATGACTCTTGGTCCACTAACACTGGACTCAAACACTTGAAGTCATTGTGTAAACTGTGAGGTATAAAACCCCTGCTGTGTTCCTGCAGAACTCTCGGTACCAGACGTACCAGCGCATGTGGAACTACATGTACTCCAAGCAGCCCAGCGTGTTCGTGAAGAGCACCGAGGAGGGCATCGCCCGCGTCATCAACTCCAAGTACGCCTTCCTAATGGAGAGCACCATGAACGAGTACTACCGCAGCCTGAACTGCAACCTGACCCAGATCGGAGGCCTGCTGGACACCAAGGGATACGGCATCGGCATGCCTCTGGGTGAGTGGCCCACCATCACAGGCCTCTATGAATGTGTGTTACTGCTGACTGGTGAATGTTAAAAACTGTTTGAGGGCTGGTAATGGGGGGTCGAGGGGTCCATTTACCATAGAATGACCTTTACATTTTGAAAATGAGACCATTCGGAGAAGAAAGAAAGGAAAATGTCTCAAAGGCAGAGACACACACTTTGGTGGTAGCAATTTTTTCATCCGACAAATTAGATAAACTCTAAACATAATGCTTGTTAGGTTGTTTTTTATTTCCTCCTAACACTGCCTGGATTTTTCAGCTGCACATATAATACAAAAATACTCCATAAGCAAATCAGAATTTAAGACAGACTTTAATAAAGGGGAATATCTTTTTATTCATTTAACCTTTATTTAACCAGATAAAAAGCGTTGAGATAAAATCTCATTTACAATGCTGACCTGGCCAAGAAGGCAGCAACGTTACACATTTTTACACATAACACAGACATATAAAATACAGAGAACACAACTAAGTAAACAAAAAACAAAAAACAAAACGAAAAGCAGTCACTACATTGTGCACATTTGGAACAGTAAGAAAAGTTATTACTACTTATTACTGCAAGAGCAGCTGGTGGTAAGGACTTCAGACAACTTCAATTTAAAACAGGCTATAGGGACAAGTGCCCTCAGTTTGAGGCGTGATTGAAGGTCATTCCAAGACCAAGGACCATAATGAAAAAGACTCATTTTTCCAGCCTCAGTCCGCACAGCAGGAACCTGACAGCAATCCAGAGTCCGAAAGAGCGACAGCTCAGGCAGAGAGCAAGCAATCCAGTCACAGCGAGGCACCAGCACAAAACAACGCAAAACATCCCAAAAACTTTTAAAGCTTTTAAAACGTTTAAAAGCGCAGCAGACCAATTAAAAAAACGGGTCTAAAAAGCTAAGTAAAAATTATAAAATGTCAGTATGCACAAGAGGTAGTCAATGCCAAAAAACGAGAATGAGACAAATACTAACAGAGACAAATCAACGTGCTGCCATCTTGGAACGTGCTGCCATCTTGGAACACACACCTGAGTGTGATTGTTATCATATAAAGCAAGTGGATACAGGAAGCATCAAACATGGTGAGACAAAAACAAGCAAACATTACTCAGCAATGATTATCCCCACAGACACTGCCATATGTGGTTTACTTTGTTGACTGCCCAGTGGAACATCAACCTATAAAATAAGGAAGAGCTGTGTTAAATATCAATCATTCTGTACTGTGTAAGGCAACATTGATCTCTATGAAGAGAATACAACATGTAAAACAGTTCATTTGTTTTTAAGGTAATGTAATGAGTGTCGAGTGTGTTGCAGTGTACTGACTGGATACTGCAAGGGAGTTGATTCATTGTACTTGTAAGTTTCTTATGGTAAAAAACTATGCCTATGTAATTGCCAGAAAGATTTATGCATTATTCTGTCAGTGGGACGTTGTGATTGGAAAAGCTTTAAAGCTGGTCTTCATACAAGTTTAACTGTCTCCCTCTGGGTTTTACGGGGCAAGTCGATAAGATTGTGATCTAATTCCCTGAAATTATCGTCAATTTGTTGATCACAGTTTTCTGGATCAAAATGGGGAATATCTTCAAATATAAACTCAAGCTCTTCCAGGCGAGACACTGTGTGGGGTCTGAACTTGTGAGGGCAAAACTAAGCTAGCATTAGCATGGACGTGTGCACCGTGCTAAAGCTATTCCTGGTGATGATGTAAGTAAGTATAGGTGCTGAACAGCTGTCATCACGCTGGATGAAAGCACCATATCTCAGTGGCTCAGAAGCACATGGGGCAGAATATCTCATCACTATCTGTTTCAGAGAGAGGGGAAGTCAGGGAGCTCTGGGTGTTTCTCAATGTCGAGGAGGCTTGCTGCAGAGGCGGAGGAGCTGACTTTGTCTCCAAGGATTATGGGTCAGTTGGAAATGTTACAGCTAACCTATCATCAGGGAGGAGTGAGAATCCAAGAAGCCCGAATCAGAGCAGCTGAACGACTGTGGTGCAGCAACACGTTCAGATGAACAGTTCCTCCTCCTGTGAGCCCAGATCTACCCCTGCGGTCTTTAAACAGAGCATGGCTTTGAATGAGCTGCCTGACCTTCAGGGAGAGGAGCAGCAAACTGTGCTCTAAGAATCTACAGGTGCTTTTTCTCAGGCGGTTTTCCTTCGAAGGCGAGGCTGGTTGTTCTGTAAACAATAAGAACAAGGTTAACAGAGGGTCTTTAGATGCAGTTTGTGCATCACACCTGTCATTATGCAGTAATTATATGTCTCACCTGCATTCACTGAAACGGGGGGATACTTATTGTAACCCTAGTTATATAAGCACAGGCGGAGCCCTCTACTGGACTCTATGGGTACTACTCTCTATCATGCTGTGCGTGCTTTCACCTACTGAATTTACGTAAACGTAGCCGACCAATCGGGGCGAGCCTACCTGAATGCGCACGCAGGCCCACAGTATATAAGGCGGCTACACCCGCCGCCCCACTATCCTATACACTCTTCAGCGAGCGGACTAGGAAAGACAGGGCCCCTAGGTAGAGGGCTCCGCCTGTGCTTATATAACTAGGGTTACAATACGTAACCCCCCGTTATATCTCACACAGGCTCCGCCCTCTACTGGACTCTATGGGTACAGTGGGCGGAGCCCCGATGTATAAACGCCCTGTCGTCCGACAACATCGACCCACCACACCGTCCCTGACCGGCTTTTGGCTAACATCCACTGCATCCCCACTTCCTCCCATCCGGTTGTAACCGTGGAGAAGTCGGGGCCGCAACTTGGATAAGACACACTCACACACGCTTACCTCGTGTAGAGTGTGCATGGAAAAAATTGTGCGGAGACTCCGTCTGGAGCCTACCGCGCACCATGTTCCCCAGGTCCCTCAGGAGCATGGGAAAACATAAGTGCACCACGTCCCCCACACTCACACACGCTCCGTGTAGAGTGGGCATGGACAATAGTGAGGAAGGCTCTCCCAGCCTGCCCATAGGCAGGTGGGGAGAGTCCTCCAGCCCTGTATGGGGCTGATTGCGCACCATCACAGACGAGAAGGAGCCAGAAATGTCCAGGAGATAACATTTTATGAAGGGGCCTGGCGTAGACCAAGACGCCGCTGTGCATATATCTTCTACACTCACGCCGCTGAATAAGGCTGTTGACACAGCCACAGCCCGTGTAGAATGTGCACGGACCCCAGTGGGGAGGGCTCTCCCCGCCCGTCCATAGGCATGTGTAATGCACCAGCATAGCCATCCTGTTAGGCGCTTCTTTGAGAGGGCTTTTCCAGCCACACCATCCCCAAAGCACACAAACAGTTGTTCAGTGCGCCTAATGGCAGCCGCGCGCTCTACATAGCATGCTAGCGCACGACAGTGCTTTCAGGGAGGAGAGCTCCAGAGGCTCAAATGGTTCTGTGACCAGAGCCTCGAGCACCAACGGCAGGTCCCACTGCGGGGCGGAGGCGTGCACTACTGGGCGCAGCCTCCTGACCCCCTGCAAAAACCGCGCCATAAGCGGCTGACTGAAGGCTGATCTGCCTCCAAATCCCTCATGGCAGGACGAAATGGCTGCTGCATACACCTTAATTGTGGAATGAGCCAGCCCCCTGTCCACCAGTATCTGTAAGTAGGTAAGAATAGAGCCCAGCGTGCACGACAGAGGCTCTAGACTCCTTCCTTCACACCATCGCCGGAATCCCGCCCACTTTGGCCTGTAACAAGCTGTGGTGGATTCTGCTCTTGCTGCTTGGATAGTCTGAATAACGTTATCAGACAGCCCCACCTGTCTCAGCCTGTCCCTCTCAGGAGCCAAGCCTGGAGAGGTTGGCCCAGAGTGGGTAACGTCCCTATTGCACCTGCTTCCTGAGACAGCGCTCCCCAGACCTGAGGAATCGCCCAGGGCTGGCCCACCATCATCTGTGTTACCCCCGTGTACCACGGCGCCAGGCGGCGATCTGGGGCCACCAGGATGATTGACAGCTGTTCCCGCCTCACCCTCTCCAGGAGGAGGGGCATATGGTGCAGCGGTGGAAAGGCGTAAAGCAGCTTTCTTGGCCATGGCTCGTGTGCAAATGTGTCGACCCCAAGGGCGGGTTGTCCCACCGAGCCAGGGAGAACCACAGGGCACAGTGGCTGTTGCGCCGATTGGCGAACAGGTCCACCTCTGCTCTCCCGAACTGAGTCCAGACCTGCTTCACCACCTCCGGGTGAAGCCTCCACTCGTCTGGCAGGGGTCCGCCTCTCGACATGAGGTCGGCCCCCCTGTTCTCCCGTCCCGGGATGTGCAGGGCCCTTAGAGACAACACAATCTGTGAAACCCACAGCCACAGGTTCTCTGCTGCGGTCAACAAGGCTATTGAGCGGACTCCGCCCTGCCTATTGATGTATGCCACTGTGGTGCGGTTGTCGCTCCCTACTAGCACATGTTTGCCCTGTATTAAGGGTTTGAAGTGCTGCAGGACCAACATCACTGCTTGCAGCTCCAGGAGGTTGCTGTGCCGCACCTCTGCCAGAGGCCAGCAACCACCCACAGCTCTCTCTAGGCACGTCCCCCCCCCCCCATCCTGTCACTGAAGCGTCTGTGAAGACTGTGATATAGGAGGTTACCTGCCCCAGTGGAGCTCCCCTCCGCAGATTCTCTGGGGACCCCCAGAATCGGAGGTTGCTCTCTACTGAGGGGGGGGGATGGTCACCAGACGTCGTTTGTGTCTTAAGATCTAAACGAAGGCCGGTAAACCACCTCTGCATGCAGTCCGAGTGGCACTACGGAGTGAGCAGCCGTCATGAGCCCCAAAGTCTGCATGATGATCAAAGCTGTCACCGTCGCCCCCTGACGCAGCCTGCAGACTGCCCGCAGCAGGGATGCCTGTCTGCTTTCTGTCAGGGTGGCACGTAGTCTGCCTGCATCGAGCATCACCCCCAGATATTCTACCTGCTGGTGAGGTATGGGGGAGCTCTTCTTCCAA